ACATAATAAACTATATAGTATATAATGTGAGGTATAATAAGATGAATTTGGGTATATTTGAAGAGTTATGAAGTGAATAAGGAACTACAGTGTACATAATAAACTATATAGTATATAATGTGAGGTATAATAAGATGAATTTGGGTATATTTAAAGAGTTATGAAGTGAATAAGGAACTACAGTGTGCATAATAAACTATATAGTATATAATGTGAGGTGTAATAAGATGAATTTGGGTATATTTGAAGAGTTATGAAGTGAATAAGGAACTACGATGTACATGATAAACTATATAGTATATAATGTGAGGTATAATAAGATGAATTTGGGTATATTTGAAGACTTATGAGGTGAATAAGGAAGTACAGTGTACATAATGAGTTATAGTATGTATTGCGAGTTATAACAAGAAATATATATTTTTGCTGAAGTTGAAGAGTTATAAGAAATTAGCTTATACGACGTGTTTTGGTATTTATGGTGAATTATACTGTGTTGGGTTGCCATGTGCTAGATGAGATACACTGTGTATAATGTATTTTTATGTTTGTGGTGAATAATCGTGTGTATGATGTGTTATTGTGTGAATGATAAACTAAACCTTACTCGATAAAATGTCTTTAGTTACAACAAATACGACGAGTTATTATTTTTTTTTCAGAAATTTGCACAAGGCTACCATTTTTGTAGTAACGGTACATTCACAGTTATCCTGTACATGGTAAGTTATAGTAATCTGGTTCGTACGATAGCTAAAGTATAACTGATACAAAATCTTTATAACATAAGTGAAGTAACATACTTAGAAAAACATATTGATGACGTAGTTGAAGTAATTAATCAGTATAAAGTTTAATGGCATAGCGGAAGTAGTATAGATAGTAAATTTTATTGTAACAGCGAAGGTAATATAATTAGTATGGCATTTTGATTATTGGCGGAAGTCATATAACAAGTATGGCGTTTTGATGGTATAGCGGAAGTCGTATAACTAGTATGCCGTCTTAATGGTATAGCGGAAGTCGTATAAACAGTATGGCGTTTTGATGGTATAGCGGAAGTTGTATAACCAGTATGGCGTTTTGATGGTATAGCGGAAGTCGTATAACCAGTATGGCGTTTTGATGGTATAGTGGAAGTCGTATAACTAATATGCCGTTTTGATGGTATAGCGGAAGTCGTATAACCAGTATGGCGTTTTGATGGTATAGCGGAAGTCGTATAACTAATATGCCGTTTTAATGGTATAGCGTAAGTCGTATAACTAGTATGTCGTTTTGGTGGTATATCGGAAGTCGTATAATTTGTATGATGTTTAATATATTTAAAATCGTTTTGAAATATAAATCTGAAAACAAAGTAATGTTTGACCAGAATAATAACTATTAATATGTTCAACTTCAGCACGTTGTTTCTCAATTTATTATAAAGTGTAGTTAAAGCAGATAGAATAATTTATACTTTATTTTAATACTTCATCAATAATTAATCGCTTACTACTAGAAGCAGTTATAATTTTTTAATTAAAAAGAAGACTATACTATTTAATATAGAGTGTATATTTGTTAATTTGGTAGTCAAGAAAAATTATATATAAAAATTTCCTCCAAAACTTTGTTTGGTTCTGGGCTATCTGTGCTCTGCCCACGATGGGCATTGAAACCCGATTTTTAGTGTCGTAAGCCCGCAGACTTACCAAACTATGTAAAAATTACGTTGTGTTACATCTATGAAAACGATTTTGTTTGTTTGTTGTTAAGCGCAGAGTTACACGATGGCTACCTGTGCTGTGCCTATCACGGATGTCGAACCCCGGTTTTTAGCGTTGTACACCTTCTAG